CCGTCTCAAAAAAAAAAAAAAAAAAGGAATATTACTCTCTGGAAAAATGGACTGTCGAAGAGAAAATGACAGGAATCTCTTAGTGATACAGTGCAGTATGTTAATCCTACAGGGCAGCCCACCCTTTGATAAATTCTAACCATGTGCCTTGAGCCTGCTTCTAATTAGTGCCTGATATGGTATGGCTGTATCCCCACCCAAATCTCATCTTGAATTGTAGTTCCCACAATTCCCTCATGTCATGTGAGGGACTCGGTGGGAGGTAATTGAATCATGGGGGTGGGTCTTTCCCATTTTCATAATAGTGAATAAGTTTCACAAGATCTGATGGTTTTATAAAGAGGAGTTCCCCTGCGCAAGCTCTCTCTTGCCTGCTGCCAGGTAAGACGTGCCTTTTGCCTTCTGCCATGATCATGAGGCCTCCCTAGCTATGTGGAACTGTGAGTCCATTAAACCTCTTTTTCTTTATAAATTACCCAGTCTCGGGTATGTCTTTATCAGCAGTGTGACAATGAACTGATACAGTTCCTTATATTTTTCTGTGTTTGTAAAAATAATCAGCCAAAAGTCATCAGTTTATTTGAGGGAAACTTCTCACATTAAAGTCAGTCATCAAAATGGAAATATGGCATTCAAAGGAAACAGACGTTGGCAGAAGAAAATTTAAAAGAAAAATGAAAAACCTACATCTGTAATAAAAGCCTCAGAAATATTCACAAAACAGCAAGAGAAGATTATAAAAAGCAAAAAGACCTGAACAGGTAGAACACAACTGTATATATGTATATATAGATATAGTATAAATAAAAAAACAGTAGAGAAGTTGGAAGATAATGATAAATTTATATTCAAGAAAGTATAAGAAGACAAAGTAAATAAAAAATAGAAGGGGAAAATATAGAAAATTAGGGACTAGGAAATCTAACAAGGAAATCATTCCTATATGAGTAATAGGAATTTCAGAAAGAGAAAACAAATTTGGAGGAGGGGAAATTACCAAAAAATTGACAAAATATCTCAGTATTTAAAGACATGAGTTTGCAGGTTAAAAGGGCTCATGGATTGTCCAGTACAATGAAAAACAACTACCTTTGCCCAAGTTCATCTCTGAAATTTCATACTCCTAAGAATAGAAGGAAATTCTGAAAACTTTCAGAGGGATAAAAACAGCCCAAAGAACAAAAAACAAAACAAACAACAAAAAAAAGGGTCAAATAAACAGGAATAGGAAAATGGGTTCAGATTTCTCAACAGCAACACAGAAAACAATGGAACACAGTCTTCAAATTTTTGAAGGGAAATGCTTTCCAATGCAAAAATCTTCCCAACCAAATTCTCAATCAAATGTGAGGTTAGAATAATGATGCTTTGAATTCTTATGCAAAAATCTCAGAAACCCAACCAAATTCTCAATTAAGTATGAAGGTAGAATAATGATATTTTGAATATTTATGCAAAAATATCAGAAAGTTTAGTCCCTATGTATCTTCTCAAGAAGCTATTGGAAGATGTGCTCCATAAAACAAGAAAGAGGAGGATGTGAGATCTAGTTGTATTAGTTTGTTTTTATGATGCTCATAAAGACATACCTGAAACTGGGAACAAAAAGAAGGTTAATTGGGCTGGGTGCGGTGGCTCATGCCTGTAATCCCAGCACTTTGGGAGGCCGAGGCGGGCAGATCACTAGGTCAGGAGATCGAGACCATCCTGGCTAACATGGTGAAAACCCGTCTCTACTAAAAATAGAAAAAATTAGCTGGGCATGGTGACGGGTGCCTGTAGTCCCAGCTACTCAGGAGGCTGAGGCAGGAGAATGGTGTGAACCTGGGAGGCAGAGCTTGCTGTAAGCTGAGATCGCACCACCTGGGCCACAGAGCAACTCAGTCTCAAAAAAAAAAAAGAGGGTTAATTGGACTTACAGTTCTGCATGGGTGGGGAGGCCTCAGAATCATGGCATGAGGTGAAAGGCACTTCTTGCATGGCAGCAGCAAGAGGAAAATGAGAAAGAAGCAAAAGTGGAAACCCCTGATAAACCCATCAGATCTTGTGAGACTTGTTCACTATCACAAGAATAGCACGGGAAAGACCAGCCCCCATGAATCAATTACCCCCACCCAGCTCTCTCCCACAACACGTGGGAATTCTGAGAGCTACAATTCAAGATGAGATTTGGGTGGGGACACAGCCAAACCATATCACTCCACCCCTGGCCCCTCCAAATCTCATGTCCTCACATTTCCAAACCAATCATGCCTTCTCAACAGTCCCTCAAATTCTTAACTCATTTCAACATTAGCCCAAAAGTCCACAGTTCAAAGTTCCATCTGAGACAACGCAAGTCCCTTCTGCCTATGAGCCTGTAATACTGAAAGCAAGCTAGTTACTTTCTAGATAATGATTACCTCCAGGGTAAACAAGAGGTTTACAACAAATAAAATGTAATAACGTCCCAAACAGAATAATGTCCCAAACAGAAACATCAAAAAATAGCATATAGGCATTGTATTAGTCTGTTCTTGCATTGCTATAGATACCTGAAACTGGTAATTTATAAGAAAAAGAGGTTTAATTGGCTCACAGTTCTGCAGGCTGTACAGGAAGCACAGTGGCTTCTACATCTGGAGAGGCTTCAGGAAGTTTCCAAATGTGGTGGAAGGCAAAGAGGGAGTGAGGGGTCTTACCCCCCCCCCTTTTTTTTTGAGACGGAGTCTCACTCTGTCCCCAGGCTGGAGTGCAGTGGTGATATCTCAGCTCACTGTACCCTCCACCTCCCAGGTTCAAGCGATTCTCCTGTCTCAGCCTCCGGAATAGCTGGGATTACAGGCACATGCCACCATACCCAGATAATTTTTGTATTTTTAGTAGAGATGGGTTTCACCATGTTGGCCAGGATGGTCTTGATCTCTTGACCTCATGATTCCCACCCACCCCCCTGGCACCAGACTCCAAAAGTGCTGGGATTACAGACGTGAGCCAAGGTGCCCTGCCAGTGCTACACAGTTTAAAGCAACCAGATCTCACTCACTATCATGAGAACAGCACCAAGGGGATGGTGCTAGACTATTCATGAGAAACCCATCCCCATGATCAAATCACCTCCCACCAGGCCTCACCTCCAACAGTGGGGATTACAATTTAACATGAGATTTGGTGGGACAAGCCATACCAGGGATGCATGAAAGGAAAATCTTGGGTTTCCAAATTACTAAACTAAAGGGAAAAGTCAGGCTGGGAACTGCTCAGGGCAAACCTGCCTCACATTCTATTCAAAGTCATGCAGCTGCTCACTGAGATATATGCATAGTCTGATGGCCTCCTTTGGAAAGGTTTATCAGAAACTCAAAAGAAGGCAACCATTTGTCTCTTACCTACCTGAGACCTGGAAGCCCCCTCCCTGCTTCCAGTTGTCCCTGCCTTTCTGGATGGAACCAATGTACTTCTTACATACATTGATTGATGTCTCATGTCTCCCTAAAATGTGTAAAACCAAGCTGTGCCCTGAGCACCTTGGGCACATGTCAGGACCTCCTGAGGCTGTGTCATGGACAAGCATCCTCAATCTTGGTAAAATAAACTTTCTAAATGAACTGAGACCTGTCTCAAATTTTGGGTGTTCACACATGTTATTTAGAAATATGGAAGTAAACACCAGGAACAAAACTTGAAAGGATTAAAAATGCTTACCTCTGGAAAGTGGATTTAACTTAAGGAGGAACTGAACAGGAGAAAGCAGATTTTGGTTATAGAAAGAAAGAGATTCAAATAAAACAGTACAGAACACCTGTTCTGTCCTCCCTTGTGTTTATCAAGTGCTTGCCAGGCACTCAAAGTTCATTGCTGTCATTACTTTAAGAATTGAGGACTTGGGCCTCCACGTGGTATTCTATTAATACTGGCTCTCTTAAACTGACTGTCTCCAGGATTTTGCATCTATCAGGAAGGGAGATTGTGACCTCTAACAAGTTACAGTGGGCAGTAGGTATCCATGGAGAACTGGTTCCAGGACCTGGACAGCAAAATCCACAGATGCTCAAGGCCCTTATATTAAATGGTGTAGTACGGTATTTGCACATCCTCTCCTATAATTCACATCATCTTCAGATTCCTTATAATATCAAGTACCATGTAATTGTTACATAAGTAGTTGTTACATTGTATTATTTAGGGAATTATGACAAGGAAAAAAAGTCCGTACATGTTCAGTACAGAGGCAAGTATTCTTTTTTTCCTCAAATGTTTCTCATCCGTGGTTAGTTGAATTTGGATGATGAATCCGCAAATCTGGAGGGCCGAACGTGCTTAACTTCCCTAAGTTTAAACATTGCTAAAGCGAGAATAATTATAAACTTAGCTAGGTAGGGTGTTGCGGAAAGCAATGAATATTATACTTGCAAAGTGCTTGGCACGTTATTGTGGTTATTATTTCCTGAAAACAAACAAAAACCACTTATTGGTTGGTGTGAAAGAGGGCATCTGTCAAAGTTGTTGTCCTTTGGAGCCAGAAAAGTCTTTCTTCTATGATGACTCACCTCTCCTCACCTCTCCTCCAACCTCGTGGCTTCTTTGGGGCTCCCTCCCGGAGGACACCGGTCAAGATTAGCCTGGGCCACAGTGCACCGGTCCTGTTCTGGGTGATGTTCCAAGCTCACTTTTTAAATTTTTTTATTTTTATTATTTATTTATTATTACTTTTTTAGACAGGGTGTCACTCTGTCGCCCAGGACTGGAGTGCAGTGGTGCCATCACTGCTCGCTGCAGCCTCGATTCCCTGGGGTCAAGCCTCCTCCCATCTCAACCTCGCAGGTAGCTGAGACTACAGGTGCGCACCACCAAGACCGGCTAATTTTTATATTTTTTTGTACAGAGGAGGTTTGTTACCTATATGTTACTCAGGTTTGTCTCGATCTCCTAGACTCAAGCGATCCGCCTGCCTCGGCCTCCCAAAGTGCTGGGATTACAGGCATGAGCCACCGCACCCCGCCCCAAGCTCAGTCTTGAAATAGACTGGAACGGGAAACGGAAAACAGCAAGGTTTTCCTCCGACCAGCGAGAGTCGCTCCGACGAGCGAGAGTCCCGCCCCGCATCAGTTTGCGGAGCCGCCTTAGTAGAAGGAGAGAAGGGGAGTCGAGGAGGCACGGGACTGGAGGGACCGAAGTTCCCCGATGGCGGCCCGGGGGTGCGCGGTCTCGCGGCTGCTCCAGCTTCTGCTGCTGCTGCTGCTGCTACTGCCGCTGCTGGCTGAGGGCGGGGCGCCCGCGCCGTGGCACGGGGAAGGCACCAGCCCACAGCTGCGGGACATCTTCCTGGGCCGCTGCGCCGAGTACCGCGCACTGCTGAGCTCGGAGCAGCGGTGAGGCCGCGGGCCGGGTGGGAAGGGAAGCGGGGGGTGGCGGGGGGCGGCGGGGGGCGGCGGGAAGAGGCAACAGTGAAGAGAGCCTGGGGAGGGGATTACTGGAGCTAAAGGTCGGGGTGAGGGGACAATGAGAGAGGCCTTCAGGGGAGAGGTGAGTGTGGAGACAGCGATGGTCCTGAAGGATGCGGGCAAGTGAGGAGGGGACTGTGAAGTGTGTCTGCAGGTGAGGGGTGCGCTGTGCGGGGTCTAGAGATGAGGACTGTGTGTGTGTGTGTGTGTGTGTGTGTGTGTGCGCGCGCGCGCGCGCGCTGAGGGGGCTGTGTGTATTCTAGAGGTGAGGGGTGTGTGTGTGTGTGTCTGCTCTAGAGGTGAGGGTTTGTGTGTGTGTGTGCGCGCGCGCGCTGAGGGGGCTGTGTATATTCTAGAGGTGAGGGGTGTGTGTGTGTGTGTGTCTGCTCTAGAGGTGAGGGTTTGTGTGTGTGTGCTCTAGAGGTGACGGGTGTGTGTGTGCATGTGTTCTAGAAGTGAGGGGGTGTATGTGTGTTCTAGAGGTGAGGGGGGTGTGTGTGTGTGTTCTAGAAGTGAGGGGTGTGTGTGTGTTCTAGGGGTGAGGGCTGTGTGTGTGTGTGCTCTAGAGGTGAGGGTTTGTGTGTGTGTGCTCTAGAGGTGAGGGGTGTGTGTGTGCGCGTGTGTTCTGGAAGTGAGGGGTGTGTGTGTTCTAGAGGTGAGGGATGTGTGTTCTAGAGGTGAGGGATGTGTGTGTGTTCTAGAAGTGAGGGGGGTGTGTGTGTGCTTTTGAGGTGAGGGATGTGTATGTGCACTCTAGAGGTGAGGGGTGTGTGTGTGTGCTTTTGAGGTGAGGGGTGTGTATGTGCACTCTAGAGGTGAGGGGTGTGTGTGTGTGTTCTAGAGGTGAGGGGTGCGTGCATGTGTGCATGTGTTCTAGAGGTGAAGTGTGTGTGTTCTAGAAGTGAGGGGTGTGTGTATGTGCTCTACTAGTGAGGGGTGTGTGTGTGCACTCTAGAGGTGAGGGGTGTGTGTGTGTTCTAGAGGTGAGGGGTGCGTGCATGTGTTCTAGAGGTGAAGTGTGTGTGTGTGTTCTAGAAGTATGTGCTCTAGAGGTGAGGGGTGTGTCTGTTCTAGAAGTAAGGAATGTGTGTGTGTGCTTTAGAGGTGAGGGGTGTGCGTGTGTGTTCTAGAGGTGAGAGGTGTGTGTTTGTGTTCTAGAGGTGAAGGATGTGTGCATGTGTTCTAGAGGTGAGGTGTGTGTGTTCTAGAGGTGAGGTGTGTGTGTTCTAGAGGTGAGGGGTGTGTGTGTGCACGTGCACTCTAGAGGTGGGTGTGGGTGTGTGTTCTAGAGGTGAGGGGTGTGTGCGTGTGTGTGTTCTGGAGATGAGGTGTGTGTGTGTGTTCTAGAGGTGAAGTGTGCATGTGTGTGTTCTAGAGGTGAGGGGTGTGTGTGTGCACGTGCGTTCTAGAGGTGAGGGGTGTGTGCGTGCACTATAGAGGTGAGGGGTGTGTGTGTGTTCTAGGGGTGAGGGGTGTGTGTGTGTGTTCTAGAGGTGAGGGGTGTGTGTGTGTGTTCTAGAGGTGGGGGTGCTTGCATGTGTTCTAGAAGTGAGAGGTGTGTGTGTGTTCTAGAGGTGAGGGGTGTGTGCATGTGTGTGTTCTGGAGGTGAGGGGTATGTGTGTGTTCTAGAAGTGAGGTGTGCATGTATGTGTTCTAGAGGTGAGGGATGTGTGTGTGCACGTGCGTTCTAGAGGTGAGGCGTGTGTGTGTGCACTCGAGGTGAGGGGTATGTGTGTGTTCTTGGAGTGAGGAGTGTGTGTGTGTGTTCTAGAGGTGAGGGGTGTGTGTGTGCATGTGTGCTCTAGAGGTGAGGGGTGTGTGTTTTAGAGGTAAGGGGTGTGTGTGTGTTCTAGAAGTGAGGGGTGTGTGCGTGCGTTCTAGAGGTGAGGGGTGTGTGTGTGCACTCTACATGTGAGGGGTGTGTGTATGTTCTAGGGGTGAGGGGTGTGTGTGTGTGTTCTAGAGGTGAGGGGTGTGTGTGTGTTCTAGAGGTGAGGGGTGTGTGTGTGTGTTCTAGAGGTGAGGGGTGTGTGTGTGTTCTAGAGGTGAGGGGTGTGTGCATGTGTTCTAGAGGTGAGGGGTGTGTGTGTGTGTTCTGTAGGTGAGGGGTGTGTGTTCTAGAGGTGATGTGTGTGTGTGTGTTCTACAGGTGAGGGGTGTGTGTGTGTTCTAGAGGTGAGGGGTGTGTGTGTGTTCTAGGGGTGACAGGTGCATGTGTGTTCTAGAGGTGAGCAGTGTGTGTGTGTTCTAGAGGTGAGGGGTATGTGTGTGTTCTAGAAGTGGGGGGGTGTGTGTTCTAGAGGTGAGGGGGGTGTGTGCGTATGTTCTAGAGATGAAATGTGTGTGTTCTAGAGGTGAGGGGTATGTGTGCGTGTGTTCTAGAGGTAAGGGGTGTGTGTGTATTCTAGAGGTGAGGGGTGTGTGTGTAGTCTAGAGGTGAGGGGTGTGTGCATGTGTTCTAGCAGTGAGGGGTGTGTGCATGTGTGTTCTAGAGGTGAGAGGTGTGTGTGTGTTCTAGAGGTGAGGGGTGTGTGTGTGTTCTAGAGGTGAGGGGTGCGTGTGTGTGTGTTCTAGAGGTGAGGGGTATGTGTGTTCTAGAGGTGAGTGGTGTGTGTGTGTTCTAGAGGTGAGGGATGTGTGTGTGTTCTAGAGGTGAGGGGTGTGTGTGTGTTCTAGAGGTGAGGGGTGTGTGTGTGTTCTAGAGGTTAGGGATGTGTGTGTGTGTTCTAGAGGTGAGGGGGATGTGTGTGTGTGTTCTAGAGGTGAGGGGTGTGTGTGTGTTCTAGAGGTGAGGGATGTGTGTGTGTTCTAGAGGTGAGGGGTGTGTGTGTGTGTTCTAGAGGTGAAGGGTGTGTGTGTGTGTGTTCTAGAGGTGAGGGGTGTGTGTGTGTGTTCTAGAGGTGAAGGGTGTGTGTGTGTGTGTGTTCTAGAGGTTAGGGATGTGTGTGTGTTCTAGAAGTGAGGGAGGTGTGTGTGTTCTAGAGGTTAGGGATGTGTGTGTGTTCTAGAGGTGAAGGGGGTGTGTGTGTGTGTTCTAGAGGTGAAGGGTGTGTGTGTGTGTTTTAGAGGTGAGGAGTGTGTGTTTGTTCTAGAGGTGAGGGGTATGTGTGCATGTGTTCTAGAGGTGAGGGGTGTGTGTGTGTATTCTAGAGGTGAGGGGGGGTGTGTGTGTATTCTAGAGGTGAGGGGTGTGTGTGTATTCTAGAGGTGAGGGGTGTGTGTGTGTATTAGTCTGTTTTCACACTGCTATGAAGAAATACCACAGACTGGGTAATTTATACAGGAAAGAGGTTTAATTGACTCACAGTTCCTTATTGCTGGGGAGGCCTCAGGAAACTTACAACCATGGCGAAAGTCAAGGCAAAGGAGAAGCAGGCGCCTTCTTCACAGGACGGGAGGACAGAGCGAGTGCAAGTAGGGGCAAATGCCAGACACTTATAAAACCATCATATCTTGTGAGACTCACTATCAAGAGAACAGCATGGGGGAAACCACAATCATGATTCAATTACCTCCCATCTGGTCTCTCCCTAGACACCTAGGGATTATCTAGATTACAATTCAAGATGAGATTTTGTTGGGGACACAAAGTCTAACCGTATCAGTGTGTGTGTGTGTGTGTGTGTATGTGTGTGTGTGTGTGTTCTAGAGGTGAGGGGTGTGTGTGTATTCTAGAGGTAAGGAGACTGTGTGTGTTCTAGAGGTGAGGGGTGTGTGTGTGTGTTCTAGAGGTGGGGAGTGTGTGTGTTTTCTAGAGGTGAGGGGGGTGTGTGTGTTCTAGAGGTGAGGGGTGTGTGTTCTAGAGGTGAGATGTGTGTGTGTGTTCTAGAGGTGAAGGGGGTGTGTGTGTGTTCTAGAGGTGAGGGGTGTGTGTGTGTGTTCTACAGGTGAGGGGGGTGTGTGTGTGTTCTAGAGGTGAAGGGGGTGTGTGTGTGTTCTAGAGGTGAGGGGTGTGTGTGTGTGTTCTACAGGTGTGGGGAGTGTGTGTGTGTTCTAGAGGTGAGAGGTGTGTGTGTTCTAGAGGTGAGGGGTGTGTGTGTGTTCTAGAGGTGAGGGGGTGTGTGTGTGTTCTAGAGGTGAGGGGGGTGTGTGTGTGTGTTCTAGAGGTGAGATGTGTGTGTGTTCTAGAGGTGAGATGTGTGTGTGTTCTAGAGGTGAGGGGTGTGTGTGTGTGTTCTAGAGGTGAGGGGTGTGTGTGTGTTCTAGAGGTGAGGGGGGTACGTGTTTGTTCTAGATGTGAGGGGTGTGTGTGTGTTCTAGAGGTGGGGGGGTGTGTTCTAGAGGTAAGATGTGTGTGTGTGTTCTAGAGGTGAGGGGTGTATGTTCTAGAGGTGAGGGGTGTGTGTGTGTGTGTTCTAGAGGTGAGAGGTGTTTTAGAGGTGAGATGTGTATTTGTTCTAGAGGTGAGGGGTGTGTGTGTGTTCTAGAGGTGAGGGTGTGTGTGTGTGTTCTAGAGGTGAGATATGTGTGTGTTTGTTCTACAGGTGAGGGGGATGTGTATATGTAGTCTAGAGGTGAGCGATGTGTGTGTGTGTGTGTGTGTGTGTATGTGGTCTAGAGGTGAGGGATGGGGGTGTGTGTGGTCTGGAGGTAACCGGTGTGTGTGTGTGTGGTCTAGAGGTGAGGGATGTGTGTGTGGTCTAGAGGTGTGGGGTGTATGTGTGTGTGAGTGTGAAGGAGGGTGGAGAGGTATCCCTCTAGAAGTGAGGGTGGGGTAGAGGTGAACTGGGTAACAGCCCGTTGCCACCCAGCAGATGTTCGGTCTGAGCCCTCAGAACCCAGAATGTGGTCTCAGGTTGGAATTCCTTGAGTCCAGTCCTTCCGGAATTCAAATTTCAGAACCCCTAAATCTGGAGGATTTCTGAAGTTTGGGTCTTTCTTACCAGCGCTGCATTTCTTACTGATTTTTGTTCCTTCTGTGGGCCCCCCTTTTCTTGTGTTTGCGATGTCTTTCTTGTGCTGATCGTTTTTACTATCGCACATTTCAGGCAAATAAAAAACAGCAGAGAATAATATAAGAACTACCTGTGTTACACACCACCCAGTATGAGAAACAGAAAGTCACAAATGCCATGGGAAATATTTTTTGAAAACTAGGATGGACCTCAAGAGGGGCTGGCACTGGAGGGTGCACCTGCTTTGCCAGGGGTGGAAGCCTCTTGCAGCGTTGGACCTCCCTCCTAACATCACACATCCTGCTGGCTGGCCTGGCCTCACCTGGTCTCTGAGGTCCACAGTGGACCTGAACAACGAGACTGCCCCCACTGTTAGTTCTAAATGAAGAGGCACCTGCTGTATAGTTGACTGAAATTGTCACCTCCTGCTAGGTGCCATTTCTACTTGTCTTTGTGAGCCTGGGGACAAGGCTGTATTCCTTAGCTCTGAGAAATCTGTGCAGTGCCTTCTGAGAGGCAATTCCAGTGTCAGATTTCTGAATCTGTCACCTGAGCCGTGATAATTTGTTGTCTTTTTTGTAAGCCTACTTCCGCAGAGTCACTATATGACAAAATCTCTTGTAGAGCTCTTAGAGAAATGGAAATACTTCACATTACATCGTGATGTGCATGTGTGTGTTCTTCCCAACTTGTACTTTTGCACAGGAACAAGAACTGCACAGCCATCTGGGAAGCCTTTAAAGTGGCGCTGGACAAGGATCCCTGCTCCGTGCTTCCCTCGGACTATGACCTTTTTATTAACTTGTCCAGGCACTCTATTCCCAGAGATAAGGTAATGCTACAACCGTCTTGGGTAAAACTTTGTTCTCTGTCTCTACAGAAATGGATGGTGCATGGGCCAGGTGTGAGATTAGCTGTCCCCTGCATCCTGCAATGTCACAGAAACATCAGGCAGCACACATAATGTGTGTGCTGAGCTCTCTGTGGGAAGCTAGCTTTGTTTCTGTATTAGTCTGTTGTCACATTGCTATAAAGAAATGCCTGAGACTGGGTAATTTATAAAGAAAAGAGGTTTAATTGGTTTCACAGTTCCACAGGCTGTACAGGAAGAATGGCAGCATCTACTTCTGGGAGGCCTCTGGGAGCTTTTACTCCAGCGGAAGGCAAAGTGGGAGCAGGTGTCTTACATGGCACGAGCAGGATCAAGGGCAGAGGGAGGTGCCACAGGCTTGTACATAACTGGATCTTCTGAGAACTCCACCAGGAGAACAGCACCAATGGGGGAAATCCGCCCCCATAATCCAATCACGTTGCACCAGGCCCCACCTCTAACATATGGGATTACAATTTGACAAGAGACATAAATCCAAACCATATCAGTTTCCAACAGTGATTCTATATCTCCAGCTGGTTGTGGGCAGAAGAAAATTTCCTAAGTTTGCAAGTCAGTGTGAGAATCAGCACAGGGACATAAGGACATGGCTGTACCTGTCACACTGGGCCTCCACATCTGGTCAATTCTAAATAACCTTCATCCTAACTGGCCCAATGGCCTGAACCTTGAGTAATTCAGAAAACTCTCAATCTCAGTATCCTTCTGGGAGACCAGTCTCTCCATTTAATGGGTCTTAAGATTATATTTATTCAGTACCAGTTGATTTAAGAAAACCACATATCTATATTCTGTCTACACTCTAAGGTCTAATAAAGTGAAAATAAATGAGAAAATTTCCATAAAACCCTTGCTTAAAAAAATACCTCAAGTTTAAAGAATGCTAGACACCATTTTTGTTTCTGTGACATACACATTCTTAACGTAATTTTTTTCCACTGTGTGTTATTTGTAAAGGCAAGTAAATGGAACTGTGAGGTTCAAAGATAGAAGAGACTGAAAACATGATTTTGAGTATATGCTGTTCTTTGAACCTCGCTGTCTTCCTGTCACTAAAAGCGCGGAAGCCAACTTTTTTACCTTCTCTTTCAGAGATTCGGTGCTAGTTGATGAACTCAGTAAATACTTCCTGGGCTATTTGTTTGCCCAGTCATTGGTGCTAAGGGTTAAGGCTGTAACAGTGAAAAACAGCCCCCACCCTTGGGGACCTTCTAGTCTAAATATAAACTGATTGGACTACTGAAGATCAGATGAAATAGTGACTGGGGCATTTGGGTTATTGTTACATGAAAACACTATAGTGGAAACTATGAAGTATGGTATGAAAGCAATGTGTTTTTGAGGCACTTGACACTTTAGGAAGTGCTTTCTGTGGCTTCATATTATCCTGGCCACAGCTGTGGAAGAAGATAAAGGGCTCATGCTCTGCATTTTCCAGAAGTAGAAACTGAGAAACAGGGAGATTGCATGCCTTGGTCAAGATTACATATCTAATACATGACAGAGCCAGGATTCCAGCCCAGGTCCCTTGATCATTCTTAATGTAGGGAATCTTACCACATGCGTGTATATTTAGTACTAGTGAGAAAATATTCCATTAACATTTGCACGATACCCTGGGAATAAAGGGAGGAGGGATGCTAGCAGTCTTTGAATGAATAAATAAAGACAACGAATAAGAACGTTCAGTTGTTGTGCAGCAGGTCAGAGTTGAATGAGAACTGGATTGCCTGACCTGCCTTGATGATGCTATGCCTGAAGAGCCTGATTTTGTGTTGTATTTTGATGTTTTGTTTGTCTTTCCTTAGTCCCTGTTCTGGGAAAATAGCCACCTCCTTGTTAACAGCTTTGCAGGAAACACCCGTCGTTTTATGCCACTGAGTGATGTTCTGTATGGCAGGGTTGCAGATTTCTTGAGCTGGTGTCGACAGAAAAATGCCTCTGGTAAGACTCCTGCACAAATCACAGGAGACTTAAGAGCTCCTGTTTACTATGCATTACCATTTGTGCTAAATGCTTTCATATGCATTTATTTCACTTGATCCTCTCCGAGTCCTCTGAAATAAGTGACAAGAATAGTTAATAATAACAATACTGGAGAATACTTATCTTTTGCGGGTGCCAGTCTAAGCACTTTGTGTGTGTGTGTGTGTGTGTATACACACATATATACATATAAATGAGTGTGTGTATATATACACACATATATATATACACACACACACATATATATATATATATACACACACACTCATTTAATGCCCACAACAGCCTCATGGGATCCTATCATAATCCCCATTTTGATAAATGAGGAAACTGAGGCACAGCAAGATTAAGAAAACTGCTCGGGGGGCATAGCTAGTAAGCAACAGACAGTCTGACTCCACAGCCCATTTTCTCAAGCTTGCACAACTCTGCCTTACTATCCTCACTTGTCCAGAGGGAGAAGCTGAGGCTTAGAGAGGTTAAATGACTGGAAGTGGTAAGGCTGGGTCTCAGCCCTGTCCTGATGGATTCTGAAGCCTGTGCTCTTTAACACCACTCCAGGGTCGAGATCCAAGTTACAAGGAAAGTTAGAGTCACAAGAGCTGGCCTGAATGCTCTGCAAACTCTCCTCATTCATCCAACTGTGGTGCTAGGAGCTGGAGACACAGCAGTCCCTATCTTCGGGGAGCTTATAGTCTCATGGGGGGCATTAGCTCGAGTGATATAATGCAGGAAAAATGGTGTTCTGAGGAGTAGCAGAGTGAGACACCAGTCTCACCAGGGCATCAGGGAAGCTTCAGGAGGGAGGCTAGCAAGGAAAGGAGGTGAGGGAGTGTTCCCATCATGAAGACTGGAGATCCTTCCTGGGTATCAGAGTCACTCCAAAAGTTAACCTAATATCAGGCCGGGCATGGTGGCTCACGCCTGTAATCCCAGCACTTTGGGAGCCCAAGGTGAGTGGATCATTTGAGGTCATGAGTTCGAGATCAGCCTGGCCAACATGAAGAAACCCCATCTCTACTAAAAATACAAAAAAGTTAGCCAAGTGTGGTGGTGCATGCCTGTAATCACAGCTACTCAGGAGGCTGAGGCAGGAGAAACCCTCGAACCCTGGAGATGGAGGTTGCACTGAGGTGAGATCACACCACTGCACTCTAACCTGGACGGCAGAGTGAGACTCGGCACAAAAACGAGAAAAAGAGTTAACCTAATATCAGTTCTGTTTATTTCTGCTCCATTTGTCCATCAAACTAAAATTTATAGTGTCTACTATGTGCTTGACCCTCATCTTCTAGACAGTAGGAACACAGCAGAGAATGAAAGAGGAAATTAATACCCTATGCTTACATTATAGGAGGGCAGAAAAAACAATAAACAGGCAAGTGAAATATATAGTCTGTCTTAAGATTATAAGGACTATGGAGAAAAATAAAACAGGTAATAAGGACAAAAAAGGTTGAGAGTAGAGGGCTGGGGAGAGGAAAGTGTTGCATTTTTACCTAGATGCCTAAGGAAAACCTCACTGAGAGGCTGATATTTGAACAACGAGATGAGAAAGAACATTTTCTGACGGGAGAACAGCAATTGCAGAGACCCTGAGGTGGGAGCGTGTGTGACATATTTAACAGCAAAGAGGACAGTGGGCAAAGAGGAAAGTGCAAGCTATGAGGCTAGAGGAATAAAGAAGGGCCTGGTAGCACAGGATGTTGTGAGGCCTCTGCTTTTCACTGTGAGTGAGATGGGCAGCATTGCAGGTTCCAGGTCAAATGGACACAGCCAATCTTTCAATGGAGAATTTCCAGGAAGTTTTTGTTTGATGATGCTGCAGAGGGTGGGGAGAAGGAGGGGAGGAATGTGATGAAAAACACATAAAGAAAGGAAGAGCATTCCAGAAAACCACCAGTTATTTCTTCCTCACTTCGCTGCCCTTTTCTATCTATGCCCTCCTATCAGGGCTCTTTGTGTCAGAAAGAAGTGAACTCCAGCAGTTCAGGTCAGCCAAATAACTGTATGTGTATGTCATGGAATCCTGTGGGGCCAGTAGCAATGGTGATGAGGTTTTTTATTTATTGACCCAGAAAGAGGCATATTTTTAAGCGAAAAATAAACTTACATAACCCTGTGATAGGTATGAGGCTATTCAAATAGAAACACATATACACAATACATCTATGAAAATATACACACAGAAAAAAGTCAAGAAAATAGCAAACCCAAACCATTGACAGCAGCTCTTTTTATTTTATTTATTTTTATTTTAAAATCAGTGTTATTTTTTGAGACAGGGTCTCACTCTGCCGCCCAGGCTGGAATGCAGTGGTGTGATCCTAGCTCATTGCAGCCTTGAACTCCTGTGCTCAAGGGATCCTCTTGCCTCAGCCTCTTAAGTAGCTAGACTACAGGCACACACCACCACACTAGGCTGTTTTTAAAATGATTTTTGTAGACATATGGTCTTGCCATGTTGCCCAGGCTGGTCTTGAACTCCTGACTTCAAATAATCCTCGTGCCTCAGCCTCCCAAAGCACTGGGATTACAGGCATGAGCCACTGTACCTGGCCTTGGTTCTTTTTTCAAATTTTTATTTTTATTTTATTTTTGATTGACAGATGAAAATTGTATATATTTATGGCATACAATGTGATGTTTTGATACATATATACATTGTGTAATAATCAAATCAGGGTAATTAGCATATCCATCATCTTAAACATTTACTATTTCTTTGTGGTGAGACGTTCAAAATCCTCTCTACTAGTTATTTTGAAATATGCATACACTATTGTTAGCTATAGCCACTCTATTGTGCATTACAGCCCCAGCGCTTATTCCTCCTATGTAACTGTAACATTGTTGACCAGCCTCTTCCCATCTCCCTTATCCATTCGCCTTCCCAGCCTCTGGTAGCCACTATTCTACCCCCAACTTCTATGACATCTGCTTTTGAAGATTCCACTTTCAAGTGAGATCATGCAATATTTGTTTTCCTGTACCTGGCTTATTTCACTTGACATAACGTCCTCCAGGTTCATCCATGTTGTTGCAAATGGCTCAATAGTTTTCCGTTATGTATATATGCCATATTTTCTTTTTTTTTAATGGAGTCTCTGTCTGTCGCCCAGGCCAGAGTACAGTGGCATGATCTCAGCTCACTGCAGCCCCCCAGGTTCAAGCAATTCTCCTGCCTCAGCCTCCTGAGTAGCTGGGACTACAGGTGCATGGCACCACACCCAGTTACTTTTTGTATTTTTAGTAGAGATGGGGTTTCACCACGTTGGCCAGTCTGGTCTTGAACTCCTGACCTCAGGTAATCCACCCACCTCGGCTTCCTAAAATGCTGAGATTACAGGCATGAGCCACTGTGCTCGGTCTATTTTCTTATCTATTAATCAGTTGATGGACACAGATTGATTCTGTATCTTGGCTATTATGAATAATGCCATTAATAGCAGTTCTTGCTAGGAATATGAGGTCAACTTGTAGATCAGAAATTTTTTTTCTTTATAGAGTATATGGTAAGCATGTTCCACATCCCATTGATCTGCTGGGGTCTTTAATCTGTCCTTAAACATTTTTAAATGTAATCTATTTTGACATTTTGTATATTTTTCAATTGTATAAAATTTCTGTTCTCTGGCTAAGCATTATCGCTCTTAATCCTTTTTTTTCCTTGCATTTACTACTAAGATAATGGCTAACGATTTAATTTTTTGGAGACGGCACTTCTCCCAATAAAGCAAAGGGTTTTTGTTGCTGTTTGTGAGTTTTTAAACATTACTTTACTAGTGCTCCAGTAGAGAAATAACCCAGCTAATATGCTGAGGCTCAGTGGTCAGCTAGGCTCACTCACTAGCCAGCTATTTAGTTCTCTGCCTTCCTCACATTTGTGGTGAGAAAAATGACCAACGTCTTTAGTATCATGGACAAGGTGGTCCCTCACCAGGCTCCTTGTGGATCAAGTGGGAAGAACTGTGGATGTTAAACTTGTACACATTGTACAGAATGGAGGCTAAGTACGCGTCATGGAACTGGGATATATTGTAAGTTAATTCTTCTCTGAGATAGATAATCTTTGGAATAAAATGTGTTTGTCTACTTACCCCTTAGGACTCGATTACCAATCCTGCCCTACATCAGAAGACTGTGAAAATAATCCTGTGGATTCCTTTTGGAAAAGGGCATCCATCCAGGTAATGCTGGGATGATATCTGAGTGGTTGAGCGTGTGTGGGACCCATAGAGATGGAACACAGTGATTCAGAGTCTGGGCCCCAGGTCATCAATCAACTTCTCTGAGCCTCACTTTCCACTTTTACCACATCATGATTCATGCTCTTTGCTATATAAAGTTGTGAGAATTTAAGGAAATAAAATGCTTAATGCAGTGCCTGGCACAGAGAAAACATTCCATAAATGTTCACTATGCATGAGGCTTTTAATTAGTCATTATTATTTCCATTATGTCATGGTTATCATTAATATTTCAAAGCAATGATTTCGATTGCTACATAAAATGGGGCAACTCCTGCTTTATGGAAGACCCTAGTACACCTGAGATCGAGTTGTGGGGATCAGAAATGTTCACAAGACTAATATTAACGGGAGAGGAACTGATAGGAGATGGAGGATAAGCTGGAGACACAGAAATGGTCCCCTGAAGGTAGGTCTGTTTCCCAGAGAATGATGTCACCAGAACTGATGACAGCTATCAGTAGCTATAGCATGCCAGTGACTACAGAATTCTCTGTCATGAGAATCAGAATAAAGATTACAAATAAAGAGGGTTAAGTTCTTAGTTCAGTGCCTGGCAAAGAGCTGTTGACTATTAAACATTAGCTAGGTTGACCAGGTGGATGTCAGGGCACTTCCGCCCACCACCGTCAACCCCATTTCAGGACTATCCATGTCTTTTTTGGTCTCATCTTCTACCCTAGATCCTCAGGTGTCCACTAGGTAGATTGTTAGTCAGGGTGAGAAGGACCTTGGCCAAATCCTCCATGGTGGCTGCAGTTTGGAGCTAAGCAGAGGATCCCTCCCAGATAAAACATATTCTGTTTATTACTGTGCTCTGCTGCCTACCCCAAGAGAGCACCATTTGCTCCCACTACCGGTAGGTTTCATCTTGAGCACAGACTTCAGTCAGTTGGCAGCAGCTGCCAGAGCCCTTCACTGAGAACTGGGAGGCTACAGAGATGTCCTCATCTGAAAGTGGGATCAAACAGTAACTCAGGGGAGATGTCAGCATTACATGTAAAGGAACCATTTATTTTACCCAGTGGGTCTGCCAGACTTTCAAGTGTGTGCTGCAAACCACCACCTTATACTTCCTCCAATTCTATAATGGAAATCTAATACTAGTGCCCACATTTTTTGAGCCCTTGGCATTTGCTGTGTAGTCGAAGCATGAGGAGAATTAGTGTGGTATAGTGATGAGAAGCGGATTTGAACCTTAGCAGATAAGTATTCAATAAATGTTAGCAGTTCTTATTTTAAATATTTTCATCTTTTTTTTTGAGACAGAGTCTCACTCTGTCGATCTCAGCTCACTGCAACCTCCGCCTTCTTCTGCCTCAGTCTCCTGAGTAGCTAGAACTACAGGCGCGTGCCACCATGCCCAGCTAATTTTTGTATTTTTAGTAAAGATAGGGTTTCACCATATTGGCCAGGCTGGTCTCGAACTCCTGACCTTGTGATCTGCCTGCCTCAGCCTCCCAAAGTGCTGGGATTAAAGGCGTGAGCCACTGTGCCTGGCCACATATTTTCATCTTTATGACAATTATGTGAGGCAGAGACTTTTATCAGGTAATAACGTAATAAAATACCTTATTTTACAGATAATAAAGTAAGGCACAGAGAGGTCAAGAAGCTTGACTAGGGTTATGGAACTGACAAGTAGGGGAGCTAGGATTTGAAACCAGGCAGGCTGACTCGAGATCAGACTTTCAACCACAACGTCATACAGCCTCATTGCATCTGCATACTTTTTATTTTTATTTTTATCTTTTTTTTTTTTTTTTTTTTGGGACAGAGTCTCTCTGTGTCACCCAGGCTGGAGTGCAGTGGCACATTCTCAGCTCACTGCAACCTCCACCTCCCAGGTTCAAGCAATTCTCCCACATCAGCCTCCCGAGTAGCTGGGACTGCAGGTACGTGTCACCACGCCCAGCTAATTTTTGCATTTTTAGTTGAGACAGGTTTTTGCCATGTTAGCCAGGCTGGTCTCAAACTCCTGACCTCAGGTGATCTGCCCACCTCAGTCTCCCAAAATGCTGAGATTATAGGCATGAGCCACCATGCCTGGGTCTGCACACATTTTTTTAAAAAATATTTTTTTTCTTTTTGTCAGTGTAATAGCTGCTCATAATAGTGATTGACACATACAGAAAATATAAATTAATCACCCACATTCCTACCACCTAAAGGCAACCCATTTAGCATAGTGGTGACCAGGTATTGGCATTTAAGAATTTAACTATGACTGTTAGCACTATTTGGAAGCAATCTGAGACATGGATAACATGGAGTATATTGTTTGATATTGAGTATCATTTTGCTAGGGAATGAACCCAGCCACCTATACATCAGTGCCACATATTTCACCTCTACACCTCCTTCATACTACTATAAACATTTTATGAGGGAAATTACATGCTCCAGTAGTATTTTGAAGTGGAGATTTTGGAATTTCTGTAGACCTGTCGCTCCGTTGGGAATCCTAGACTTCGGCCCATGTATTTTTAACACAGTAAAGCTCATGCTCCTCCAACGACTGTTGCATTTTGCTTTGAAAGTAAGCACTTCTTATGCTATTGCAAATACTGTAGACTTTTACTAATGGCTGGTTAATATTTCAGACACTTAAGTATCACAGTTTACTTACCATCCCCTTGTTAAGTATTTGGTATTGGTTATAATATTTCAGTATTACAAAGAATGCTGCACCACACATCTTTGTGCACAATGCTCCTGGTAGTCCGTAGTGCTGTTTGCCAGATAATTCTGGCTTGTCTTTTGAGCCCACCGTTTGCACTTCCCTGCCTCATGAAATTATTTACATGTGACTTACACTGGCCAATCAGTTGCAAGCGGGAGTGATGTGTGTGACTTTTGGGTGGAAGCCTTTAAGAAGTGGTCTATGATTTGTCACTGTCTCCTCCCTTTTCTGGCAATCAGAGATTTTGCAGATGTGTCCCAGAATGAGGACACGTGCAACAAAACCCCAGTGGGCCTGTGATAAACATGTAGTGTGAGCATGATATAAATCATTGTTGTTTTAAAGTCACTGCAGTTTCGAGGTTCTTTGCTAAGGGAGCATAACCTACTTTATTATAGCTGATAAGATACTGCATATTTTCTATTATCTTCTTGGGGTAGATTCCCAGACATGGATTACTGAGTCTATGAGTTTTTTGACATTTCAAGGCAATTTGCTTTCCAAAATAAACCAATTTGCATTTCTACTAAGCCATATGAAATGCCACATTTATCATATCCTTGCCATTATTTAGAACTGACAATTTGTAAAAATGCTCATTTCATAGCAGAAAAATGTCACGTCTTTATTTGCTAAAAATACTTGGTTCTTCTCATAGTATTCAAAGGATAGTTCTGGGGTGATCCACGTCATGCTGAATGGTTCAGAGCCAACAGGAGCCTATCCCATCAAAGGGTAAGAACACCAGCACATTCAAACACAACAGAGAATGCCCAAATATTTATTTAATTGTTTTAAACAGAGGCTAAAGAAAATTATTCTAGTCCCCATCTCATGCTTGCTTCTGTAAATTCAGGTAAAGCAAAACAGATCAATGACCTGGTGATCAGAGCCATGTCTATAGAGTTAAACCATTAACAGCTGATGAATACTGGAATAAAAAGTAAACTAAAAATAAAAGCTAAAGAAGAAAAACTTCTAAAAGCCCTTTATTTTTTAAAGAAGAGTAATGATAAATTAACTAAAAACTGAAATGGAAAAATATCATATTGCTTTAGGGCTTTAAGAAATGTTTCTCAGTTTTTTTGCAGATTATGAAATTCCAAACCTCCAGAAGGAAAAGATTCCACGAATTGAGATCTGGGTTATGCATGAAATTGGGGGACCCAATGTGTAAGTTATGGTGATATTGATGATGATAATTGCACAAGTTTGTTTTTCTTGATTATGATATGATAAAGTTCGTTTAACATTTTCAGTTGGGGGAAACGACAGCCTTCTTTGTTTCTAACGGGGTTGGTAGAGAAAGACAGAAGCTTGACTTCCTGGGAACGCCACTAGTCAGTCCCAAGCCCAGAGAGAAAACCTCCTTTATCCGGGATATTCTTCTCAGCCAGCAAAGACAGTGTTCCTTTCTGAGTGACTTGGGTAGCTTTGGATGGGCGAGTTCCTTATGCATTTGTGAGGGTCTAAGTCATTTTCTCCTTCTGGTCATTTGAAATTCAAAAGCCCTCACCACTGGTTCTCAGAACTAACCTAAGGACTCTATAATTAAGATGTCATTCTCAGAGAACAACCAGCTCTTCAACTGGGTCTTGAATAACTGGTTAAGAAAACTTCTATGATCCACATTTTCTGGGAAGCCACATGAGTTTATATGTAAATGCAAACTTAAACTCATCCTTCTCAGCAGTGAAGGGCACTGCTGGCACAAACTCAAGATAAAAAAGTTAAATTGATTTGGTTTAAAGACAAGCCAATGAGGCCACAGCCTAAATAAAGCTGGACAGCCATGATGGAGCTTCAGAAACAAGCTGGGGCCTTGTCCTTCAGAACAGTCCCTCTGTGCTACATGGAGGAAGGTATTACTAACCCCAAGGAGTGGAGGTCCCATTGAAAGTGTTTAGGAGAACCTCAGTGAATTCACTGTGTCCGTGTCAGCTCCCAAGACTCTCTTAAGACTCGCCATATAAGGGGTAATTTTTCCCCTGTCCCTTGGGCAATAGATTGTGATAAATTTGCTAACTACTTAATTATACCAAGATCTGCATTCCCCTTCTCAGAAGACAAATTATACTTATTTTTGCATGAAAAATGCATCTTGTTGGTCTTATTTTTGTATTTTTAGTAGAGATAGGGTTTCACCATATTGGCCAGGCTGGTCTCGAACTCCTGACCTCGTGATCTGCCCGCCTCAGCCTCCCAAAGTGCTGGGATTAAAGGCGTGAGCCACTGTGCCTGGCCACATATTTTCATCTTTATGACAATTATATGAGGCAGAGACTTTTATCAGGTAATAACGTAATAAAATACCTTATTTTACAGATAATAAAGTAAGGTACAGAGAGGTCAAGAAGCTTGACTAGGGTTATGGAACTGACAAGTAGGGGAGCTAGGATTTGAAACCAGGCAGGCTGACTCGAGATCAGACTTTCAACCACAACGTTATACAGCCTCATTGTATCTGCGTACTTTTTATTTTTATTTTTTTGAGACAGGGTCTCTCTGTGTCACCCAGGCTGGAGTGCAGTGGCACATTCTCAGCTCACTGCAACCTCCACCTCCCAGGTTCAAGCAATTCTCCCACATCAGCCTCCCGAGTAGCTGGGACTGCAGCTCTGTCTAGAAGTTATACTTGCTTGTTATTTTAATGTATCTGTCAGAGAAAGCACAAAACCTACCTCTAATGAGATAAGGGGATTGCAATTCAACGTCATCTCAGCCCATCATTTCTGCTATATGAGAGGTTACAAAAGGAGTCAGAGCACCTGGTAGTACATTTGAGCCACAGGATGGAGGTGCAGGTCATGATCTAAGGAAGTAGGACTCTTGGCTCAGATTTTAGGGAAAACATATTAGCACCATAGTTAATAAAATTATAATGTATTAGGGATTATTATTGTTAAATAAGTAGATTTTAGCTGCTCTTGTCACACAAAAAAGTAACTATGTGAGATGATAGATGGTTAATCTGCTTTACTACAATAAACAATTTACTATCTATATGTATCTAATGACATGCTGTACATCTCAAATATACAAAATAAAACTTATTTAAAAAATAAAACTCATAAGCAAAGAGCTAAAAACAGCATGGCTAACACCTGATAGTATTTAGCCTGGTTTGGGCTGCCTTTATTCAAATAAACAGTTTATAGTTATTTATTTATTTATTTATTGAGACAGAGTTTCGCTCTTGTTGCCCAGGATGGAGTGCAGTGGCGAGATCTCAGCTCACTGCAACCTCTGCCTCCCAAGTTCAAGTGATTCTCCTGACTCAGCCTCCTGAGTGCTGGGATTACAGGTGTCCACTAGCACATCCAGCTGATTTTTTGTATTTTTAGTAGAAGCAAGGTTTCACCATGTTGGCCAGGCTGGTCTCGAATTCCTGACCTCAGGTGATCCACCTACCTCAGCCTCCCAAAGTGCTAGGATTGCAGGGGTGAACAACCATGCCCAGCCTTTATAGTTATTTTAATAACACATTCACTTATCTCGGTGTCCAGGTGTCCTGCAGCCTAAATGTCGTTGCTTACTGAAAAAAAAAATTCTAAGTAGTGAGCCTGGCCCAGAGTAAGGCATTGTCCCAGGTATTGGCAAAGTTCTAAAAAATGATGTTATTCAACACTGTGCTTTCTTCATTCCTGTAATGCCTGGAATTCCACTTCTGTAAAAATTTCCAGTTGCTCATTTCCTCCCTGTACACTCCCACTCTATTAATTTTATGGTGGTGAGGCTGTTTACCATCCCATTTCATGTAAAGTCAGGGTCCTGTTTGTAATATATCGTGCCTAATAACCACAGTTGGTGGTATTGTGTATCTACCTCTGTTTGCATTTGTAAATTCTCCCTGCTTGATTGTGACCATTACTGAAAGCGGGTAAGAATCACTGTTGGAAACACATGAAAAAATGCTCATCATCACTCGCCATCAGAGAAATGCAAATCAAAACCACAATGAGATACCATCTCACACCTGTTAGAATGGCAATCATTAAAAAATCAGGAAACAACAGGTGCTGGAGAGGATGTGGAGAAATAGGAACACTTTTACACTGTTGGTGGGACTGTAAACTAGTTCAACCATTGTGGAAAACAATGTGGCGATTCCTCAAGGATCTAGAACTAGAAATACCATTTGACCCAGTCATCCCATTACTGGGTATATACCCAAAGGATTATAAATCATGCTGCTATAAAGACACATGCACACGTATGTTTATTGCAGCAGTATTCACAATAGCAAAGACTTGGAATCAATCCAAAGGTCCATCAGTGACAGACTGGATTAAGAAAATGTGGCACATATACACCATGGAATACTATGCAGCCAAAAAGAAAAAGAATGAGTTCATGTCCTTTGTAGGGACGTGGATGCAGCTGGATACCATCATTCTCAGCAAACTATCACAAGAACAGAAAACCAAACACCGCATGTTCTCACTCATAGGTGGGAAATGAACAATGAGATCACTTGGACACAGGAAGGGGAACATCACATACTGGGGCCTATTGTGGGGAGGGGGGAGGAGGAAGGGATAGCATTAGGAGATATACCTAATGTAAATGACGAGATAATGGGTGCAGCACAGCAACATGGCACATGTATACATATGTAACAAACCTGCACGTTGTGCACATGTACCCTAGAACTTAAAGTATAATAATAATAATAATAAAACACACACACACACACACACACAATCATTGTTGGTACGAGTGTGGGAAATTGCCACTCTCATACTTTATCAGGGTGTAATTTGGCCATTCATATAAAAGCCTTAAACTGGATTCAAATCTTTGATGCCAGAAAACCTACTTTCAGGAATTTATGCCAACGGAACAAATAATTAATAATGTGTATGAAAATGAAGTTCCAGTCAGTGACTGTCTGGGCTGGTGGCATGGGAGGTAAGAATTTACCAAGACAGTTGTAGGTAAAGAAAGACAGATTTATTAGAGAAAGTATGAAAATATGTTGCAAGGCTGCAACTGGCAGGTCGGCAAGAGACGAGCTGACTGCAGGGAGACAAAGGCTTACTGGGAATTTTACAGAACGGTGCTTGTGCTGTGTGCTGAAGAGCACTTGTGCAGTTCTCATAGCACCGAGGTTGCAGTGAGCTAACTTGCCTTTTTCTATCAGCTGAGCGTCTGGTGATAGGTGGCCTTGGGAAGGTTGTGAGTTATTTGTGCAGGAAGCCTATGTGCCCTGGACCATGAAGAAGGTAGACTTATAGCTTATCTGCTTTGTCTTTTTGCTTTCCCCTGCTCCTGCCAGCCTGACTCCGTTTTCCTAATTAGGACTCCACACCAACAAAGTTTGTTCTAGTGTAAATGGCATTGAAATAAAAGAATCAACCTAGGTCTTCAACAAGAGAGGATGGGTTCTATGAGTGTTGGTCTGTTTATGTAAGGGAGACCATGCTGGAGCTAAAAATAATGGCAGAGAAGTGTGTGTGTTTGTGTGTGTGTGTGTGCAGATGGGACCTAAAACAGACTACAAAACACATTGGATAGCAGAGACCCATTGCTGTATTTTAAAAATCTTGCAGAAATAAATATATTTTAAAAGTTTAGACCTATATACACCAAAATGTTAACAGCAGCTATCTCTAGGGGTGTGAGATTTGGGGTAATTTTTTAAAATTTTTGTTTATTTGCATTTTCTAATATTTTTAAATTTGTATGTTTTGGTGGTTACTTAAAACTTCAAATGAATATACTGTAGTGTAGGGTGAACAAATTGGCAGGTAGTAATGTGCCGAGCCCCTGGAGCACATTGCAGATATGTGTCATTGTCTGGGGACAGACTACACAGGTGGCTGACACCACGTGCATGCACTGGCCCTGGCTTTCCCAGCGCTCCCGGCTGCCCAGCTTCAGGTCCGGTGCTGGGGTCTTCAGAGCATCATCTCCTGGGTCCTGCAGGTTTACCAGAAGCAGCCCTTTTTAAACCAGAGACATTCCTCTTTTCTTTCTGGGAGTAGAATATCCAGGAGCACATGGTCAAAAGAAATTATGATTAACCCAGAAAAAACTTCCTCTTCCACCTCTTATTTGCTTACTTTTTAATGATGTATTTTTATGTTTTAGGGAATCCTGCGGGGAAGGCACCACGAAAGTCCTAGAAAAGAGGCTGAAGGACATGGGGTTCCAGTACAGCTGCATTAATGATTACCGGTGGGCGGCCTATACATCAGTGTGTGCTTGTAGAGGTGGTGTGTGATTTTGGAGGAGGTGGGCTGCCGAAAGGGTATTGCTGGTTCTCAGCTCTGAAGGCCATGGGGTGGTGTCTTCTGGGTGGCCTCTTGGTGTGGAGGCAAGGAGCACCTTCTGGCCTGGGTTTGGCCAGGGCCCCACCTACTGCTCTCCAGAGTCCATCTTCATGGCATTTAAAGGACACACAGAGCAGCACTTTCTCATTTGCTCATGCCTAGTTCTCTCCTCACTGTGCTTACTGTGCAGTGAGACACGGGAGGACAGGGACTGATGAGGTTCCTATGTCTTTGGATCTCTGTGGGATCCTTGTGCATGACAGGTGCTAAGGTGGGAGTTTGTTTGAGATATTTACAGACACATCTTGACCACAGACCAATAGGAAAATAAGAGTAACTACCACTTGGTGAGCACCTATGGGCCAGACCCTTTATATACTTATAATCAGATATCATTTATGTGCCTTCTTGCTTGTAATTTTTTTAAAAAAATCTTGGCTCAAGCCCTAAGGTAGTTGCAAGCCATCTCTGGACTCAAATCCCTGCCTCTTGCTCTCTCTGCCTCAGCCCCCAAGACTGTGGACCTGCTGATTCTGCAAGGGGCTGGAATCCAACACTGAAAAAGCTGAGTGGCTTTCTTGAACATTTCTGAGTGTCGCAGGGTGGAAATGATGTCAGTGGTCTTCTCTTGTTGCCCAGCACCCTTGATTATCCTGCTTCTCTGCCACTCTCTGCCTTCCCAGCAGCCCCATGGACTGGATCATTCTCCCAGCTGAGCAAAGCACCCTAAACGTGTGAGCCACTCCCTCCCACTTCATGCCTCCTCAAGACAAGGAGCCCCTCAAGGCTGTTCTGTTATCTGTACCTTTTACTCATGTATTATTGCCAATGCCCTCAAAAGTTAGATGTTGCTTATCACCCCCTCTTAAAAACAAAACAAGGGAAACGTCCTTTTCTGGAAATATAATCTATGTACAGAAAAATATACAAAACATGAGTACACAGGTGGATGAAGTTTCCCCCATTTAGCGCATACCTGCAACCAGCCCTCAGACCAATAAACAGAACATAACCAGCATCCCCAGAGGCTCCCATTGGCCTCTTTTGGTCACCAACCCCATAGTAACCACTCTCCAGATTCGTAATGTCGTTTATTAGTTTTATCTGTCTTTAAGCTTTAAACTCAGTGACAGAGCTGAGTTTTGAACCCAGCTTTGCATGGCCTTAAAGCATGCTCTTTCCCTCATGCTACCAAGCTCTTCCTTCCTTAATCAAAGCTCCAGTAGTAAATTTTAAAAAATATTCAATTCTTGGCTGAGCGCGGTGGCTCATACCTGTAATCCCAGCACTTTGGAAGGCCAAGATGGGCGGATAACGAGGTCAGGAATTTGAGGCCAGCCTGGCCAACATGGTGAAATCCCGTCTCTACTAAAAATACAAAAATTAGCTGGGCGTGGTGGTGGGTGCCTGTAATCCCAGCTACTCAGGAGGCTGAGGCAGGAGAATCACTTGAACCCAGGAGGTGGAGGTTGCAGTGAGCCGAGATCATACCATTGCACTCCAGCCTGGGTGACAAGAACAAGACTCCGTCTCAAAAAACCAAAAGAATTCAATTCTCACTCCAAAACAGCTCAGTAGCCAAGCACAGTGGCATGCACCCGTAGTTCCAGCTACTTGGGAGTCTGAGGTGGGAGGATTGCTTGAGCCCAGGAGTTCAAGGGAACAGTGAGCTATGATGGGGCCACTACACTCTAGCCTAGGTGACAGAGCAAGACCTGGTCTCAAAATAAAACAAAGCAAACCCCCTGCCATCAACCCCTCAATACCAAACCAAACAAAACAGAAAACAAGCTCAATGATGGAGAAAATTGTAGCTAAAATTTTTGCATTCACAACCACTTTGCTTTGTTTTTATGTCATTAGGCTGAGCTGTAATAGCCGGGCCAGAGCCCAAGTCTCCTTCCCCCTTACAGCTACCCTGGGTCTGGACTTATGTCCTTCCTCTCCATTGGTGTCCCCACCTCAGTCGGCCTCAGGGCTCTTCTCTTCCAAGCCTGACTCAGTAAAGAAACGAGGAAGCTCCCATTTCTTTACTGCCCATAAGTTGTTTCTGTGTTAGTGTCAGGAGCAGAGAGGATACAATAAAAGGTATAACATGGGAAAGTGACAAGGGTTAACATAACAAATCCAACTCCAACCCAGATGTGAGAACCTCCTGCCCCTCACAATTCAGGTGGCACTGCCTTCTGCCCCACATCAGTTGAAGGTTCTCCCTGAGGTGCTTGCCCATTTTGGAGGGGGCTTATCTTTTCACAGCCTCCCTTACCTCCCGGTTGGTTTCTGCCAGCACTGTGTTGAATCAGATTCAGTGAAACTCCATGCCTGTTTTTGGATGTACACAATGACAGATAATTACTCTTATTAAAAATATGTGCATCAGGTAGACATTAATGAAAGGTAGCTGAGTCAAAGACAGAAGACATGGCATGCCATAGAGCGAACAGTACCACGTTCCTGTTCTTCCATAGTCCCCTGCAGTGACCCTGCCACAGAGATCCTGTCTAGGCTTGTCTCCTACCTAACTCCCCATGTGCCACCAAGACCCGGCTCCTGTCTTCATTGCTGCTTCCCTTCCCCACCCTTGGTGCCTTGGAACTTCACATCTTCTCCCTCTACTGTGCACAGAAAGTTAGCATTCCTCTCTGATGCCTGAGCGCTGACCATCACCCATGTGGTTCAAGTCCACCCTTCTGCCCAAAGTACTTATCAGGTTGTACTGTAATGTCATATGTGCATATAGAAGTGGTTAGAAGCTCGGGCCCTGGAGTCAGCCTGCATAATTCAAGTTCAGCCCTTCAACTTGCTGCTATGAGAACTTGGGCAGGTTACTGTGGTCAGCTTTCTAATTGTAAACTGGAGAAGATAAAGCACCTATTCCATTTGGTGGTTATGAGGATTAAATGACATGATCCTCACAGAAGATATAATCAAATGTCTTGGTACATAGTAAGTGCTTGATAAATGCTGGCTAATATTTTTATTTGTTTTAGTTTTTCTAGACACAGGTCCTCACTCTGTTTTCCAGGCTGGAGTGCAGTGGTGCGATCATAGTTCACTGCAGCCTTGAACTCCTGGGCCTCCCGCCTCAGCCTCCTGAGTAGCCGAGACTATAGGCGTGAGCCTCTGCACCTAGATAATTTTTAGACTTTTTTTTTTGTAGAGCCAGCGTCTCGCTATGTTGCCCAGGCTGGTCTCAAACTCCTGGTCTCAAGCAGTCCTCCTGCCTCAACCTCCCAAAGCGCTGGGATTACAGGCATAAGCCACCATGCTGGGCCACTAATATTTTTAGAGGAAATAGTTTGTGTATTCTTTGAGGTCAGAGACTACTGTATCTCCAGGACTTTTCATGCAAGCCATAAATGTTTCATGGATGAAAGTTATTTAAATAACCCCTTAAATATTATTTTCTTTCTGTAGACCAGTGAAGCTCTTACAGTGTGTGGACCACAGCACTCATCCTGACTGTGCCTTAAATTCGTAAGTAAACGTCTTAACTCAGGTCATTCTTTCCCAAGATAACCATCTCCTTTCAGAAGTTTTCAGTTCACAAACATGAACATATTATCAAACGCAGATGTAAGTGTGCTCATTTGGTTCTGGTTTGGCATTATTTTTATTTATATGTATCTGTCTTAGTTTTTGTACAAAAAGCAATCACGCTACACATAACGTCCTGCTGTGAGCTTTCTTCGCTTGCCGGTGTAATGCGGCCATCCTTTGAAGTTTGTTCATACTTTCTGTCCCAGTCTGCTAGTGGCTGTAGAGCAATCTGTAGGATGGTCACACCACCTTTTATGTAATCCCTTCTGAGTCATGGGCTGGCTTGTTTGTATGTTGTTGTAGTAGTTTTTTTTTAGCTATTATAAACAATACTGAAATATAATCCTTGATTATATGCTTTAAGCTGTTGTGCAAGTATTTGTGTAGGATAGATTCCCAGAAATGGAACTGCTGGGTCAAAGAATGTGTGTATTTTAAATTTTGGTGTGTTCTGCAAAATTCTGATATGTTTCAGAAAGGCTGTGCCAGGATACACTCCCACCACCAGTCTATGCTGGGAGCACCCCTTCTCCACTCCTCCACACTATGCATTTTCTACATCCATATCTGTATCTGTGCTGTACCTATAACCATATCACTTTAGCCAATCTTAGGGGTAAAACATAGCGCATTATTGTCATTTCAGTTTGTGTTGGCAGAGAGATTTCTGATCCCTCCACTTGAATTCTCTTATGAAATCTATTTACTAACATCATGTTTATCCTGCCAATCCACCTCAGGTGTGCTTTCCTCTATGAGACTTTCCTCATTCTCCACGTGGATTGAGGAACTCTCTTCTCTTTGCTCCCAAGGACTTTGTGCACAATCTGATGACAGTGCTTTACTTTTCCTAGCCCTGCTGTCGTTCATTCTGTACCATCTGCCTGCCTCACTCTTGCCTTTCGGTCTTTGGGTGTTTACTCTTAGTATTTTTCATTAGAGTTGCCATATAGTGGGTGCACCATCAATGCCTGCAGGATCCATTCGTCCATCTACAGGAGAAGAGAACTAATCAGAGTGCACAGCAACTATATGCTAGGCATTTGCTGTGTGTGCACTACATAATAATACTATGTTTATCTGAATAACTAGTAAGTTTAAGAGAGAGTCAGGCTGGGCATGGTGGCTCATGCCTGTATATCCAGCACTTGGGAGGCTGAGGAGCGGAGGCTCACCTGAGGTCAGGAGTTCGAGACAGGCCTGACCAACATGGTGAAACCCCATCTCTACTAAATACAAAACATAGCCGGAGTGGGTGGTGCATGCCTGTAATCCCAGCTACTTGGGAGGCTGGGGCAGCGGGGAATCACTTGAACCCAGTAGGCGGAGGTTGCAGTGAGCCGAGATTGGCCAGTGCACTCCAGCCTGGGCAACAAGTGTGAAATCCATCTCAAAAAATAAATAAAATGAAATGAAATAAATAAAATAAATAGATTAGAGAAAGAGAAAGAGATGGAAAAAGAGATAAGCACATGCCCTGGTGAGCTAGGCTTGTCGATGTCCCTCATATAATTCTTCTTCCTTTTCATTTAGTAATAGAACCTTGAATTTAGAATGAGTTCATGGCTAATCAAGATAACTATCCTAGCCCTCCCATAGCCCACTGTGGCCCAAGTGACATTGTGCAATTTCTGGGTTTAGCACTTGAAAGGAAGGGGTTTACATTCCCTTTCTCCTTTTATGCTGGGCTGCGTATATGGGCCCACAAGACGTGGAGGTGACTGCTTGCTTCAACTGGGCGTGGGCAGAGCAGTCACAGCAAAGGAAGCCGCGGTGGCCTCTGTACCGTGGTGTCACTCTACCAGCCCTGTGAGAGTTACTGAGAGAGAAATAAACATCTGTCTTCTCTAAGCCACTGTCATTTAGACAGAAGCCAGACTTTCATTTGATCTGGTGTGGGTAGGTTCGTATTCTCCCTTCAGAAGCAAATAAACTCTGGCTCAGAGAAGTTAATGAAGGACTCACCCAAGACCACCCAGCTAGTGCAGGCAGAACCAGGATCTGAAGGAGTCTGAGAACTGTCAAAATTCACTCTGGCAGATTTCTTGCTCTTTGGGCCGGAAATTAGGACAACAGACCCATCATCTCCAGCATGTATTCTAGGAGCCAACATCCCAGGGTTCGGTGATGGATTTAAGTCCTCTCCTCATGCTCTAATGCTATTCGTTCCCTGTGAATCTGGCATACATCGTTTCTGAGTCCTCTCACAGTAGATAAAGAACAGCCTGTGAACCTGGGTCTCTCACAGGAGATAAAGAACAGCCTGTGAACCTGGGTCTCTCACAGGAGATAAAGAACAGCCTGTGAACCTGGGTCCTCCCTTTCCTCACCTGAAAATGAAGTCCACCCTCACATCGCTGCTGCTCAAAAACCTTCAAAGTTCCCTACTACCAAGTTCAGACTTCTGGTCCCATCTTACAGGTTCATCATACTCTTTCCAGACACGTCACACACTGCCTCTCACCTGGAACTTTTATTTCAAGGCTAGTTTTGATCCACTTCCCGTAAGATATTACATGCTTTCTTGCTCATCAGCCTGTGGAAACACCGTTTTGGCAGCAGTAAGCACTCTGTTCTTACTGAGTTAGTCAGATGATCTGAAATTGTCAGTTTTCTTATCTACAAAGCCTCCGTGAGGTTACTCTGATCCCTGATCTCAATATTTAAAATTATAGCCTCCATCTCACAACTGTGGCTCTTCAAAACCCTCATGTGACTGTATTTTTTTCTTTTTTCTAGTGTTTATCTTCTGACTGACCTACTTGTGAAGTTCATTCTTTTTTTTTTTTGTTATTTTTATTTTTATTTTTTTTTTGAGACAAGGTCTCTCTCTGTCACCCAGGCTGTAGTGCAGGGGCACAATTACGGCTCACTGCAACCTTGACCTCCTGGGCTCACGTGATCCTCCCATCTCAGCCTCCCAAATAGCTGGGGAAACAGGCACTCACCACTATGCCCAGCTAACTTTTAAGTTTGTGTTTTGTTTTTATTTTTGTAGAGATGAGGTCTCACTGTATTACCCATGCTGGGAAGTTCATTCTTTAGCGCCTCCCACCTGTTAGAACATGAACTCCAGGAAGTCAGGGACTTTGACCTGTTTTGTTCACTGGTGATGGTATTCTAAGGACCTAAAACAGAGCTTGCAACCTGGTAGACACTTAGGAATGAATGAATGCAAGAATAGAAGAATGAATGAGTAAATGATTGGATTCTACCCTGGAAAGGCATAGATTTTAGAAGAACGATATTCAAAGGTTCTGGACAACCAAAATGCTATACAACAGCTTCAGATAAGTGCCCAGAGGCTGCATATGCAGAAGTTCTACATTTTGATTGCAAGAAAAACAATCCTTCTGAGGGTCACTTATGTGGAAAAGGGGGGAATGAAGTTGTTGAAAAGATTTAGTGGTATAGACTTTCTAAGGAACCTGCAACCTTGTAAGGCTTGGATAGGGAAGTGTTCGTGGTGTTAGAATTACTTAGGATTGTATGGGTTTACTCTTTGTCTCATTAATAAGACTATCAACCTATACAGAAACAGACCATGTAAAATTCCTTGTTGTAAAACCCATTGCACCCTACACCACCGTTCCTGAAATGGGTAAATGGTGCCATCCTAGCACCAGTGCCTTGGGTTAGCTCCCCTGCTGCAGGAAGCATAAGGAGAACGAGGGCAGCTCTTCTCACTTTTCCTTGGTATTTCTTTTTTCTTTTCTTTTTTTTTTCTTTTTTCTGAGACGGAGTCTCGCTCTGTTGCCCAGGCTGGAGTGCAGTGGCGTGATCTCGGCTCATTGCAACCTCCACCTCCTGGGTTCAAGCAATTCCCCTGCCTCAGCCTCCTGAGTTTTCCTCAGTTTGCAGTGTCAGGCTTCCAGCTGGCACTCTGGAGTGATCATCTCATTTTACTCCAACCACGTTCCTGGAAGGAGGACAGTTTGATTGTCAGCAATGATGCTGGTTCAGAGAGATTAAGCAGTCACTCAGTGTAACTCAGAGGCAGAAGCAAAACCAACGTTTGTCTGTGTGTAAAGTTCTCATTCTTCCTACCACACCACACTGCCTTAAAATGTCTCTGGGGCTCACACCACAGCAGGTAGGTAAGGGGTTTGCAGTTCCTGACCTGTTCTTTCCTGTGTGTGGGCATTCTTCCAGTGACTGTTGGTAGACATTTTTTGACAATTCTGCCCGATTCCTTTGAATGTCAAGGATAAAACTCTCTTTCACTCTGCCAAGATTTTCTCCAACTTTCATCACCCTGGCAGGAATTTTACTAATCTCTTTTTTAAACATTCTAGTAGTGAATATTCATAGATAATTTACAAAAGAGAAACCACAAATAGCAAATGTACAAAATTATTTAATCGCTCTAATAATAATGGAATACAAATACAGCAAGGTGTCATTTTCACCTACACTTTTTTGACATACATTAAAACATAGCAGAAAAGTGTTTCAGAGATGTTATTCAAGCTTGATGTCACTGTAAATTGATAAAGTGCTTTGGGAAAACAATTTGACAATATGCGTCAAGAATTAGAAAAGTATCACAGTCTTCGACCTAGGTCAGACTTAGGGTACTTTTGGTGCCCTATTCTAAAGAAGTGATTCAAAATGCGCATACAGCTTATAAGCTCAAATATGTTCACCAGAGCATTCTTTATAATACTGAAATATTGGGAACTAGGCCCAAATATCCACTGACAAGTAAATGGTTACATCAAAGGGTACACTTACTGGAGGGAGTAGAATGTAGCTCTTAAGGACAATGGTAGGATAATCATACGGCAAGCAGAAGACCACATGAATAATCTAAGAGGAAACCTTAGATTATAAGGTCAATAAGCGCCAACCTTAGCGCTTATAGATTATAATATTGGCCAAAAATTCAGTAGACTTTTAATCTGCAGGATTGGTGATGATACGAGAAAACAGACATATAGTATTGAAATGAGGACTCAGTGTGGTGCTGAGGGCCAAGGGCAAACATCAGATCTCTTAACTTGGCCAGAAGTCTCTGTCCTAAATGCCCCAGGCCGCAGAGACAGGACTACTCATCTCTACTTGTTTAGGAATAGTGGGGTAAAGGGCTTTTAATCTGAAAAAGTTTCAAATGAAATAAACAACTGTTGATGTAAATCCACCCATGTTATTGTTTTGTGGTAAATTTAGGGACAATCTGTATGTTTTGGTATTTAATTATTGGCAATATTTTAGAAAATGTAGCATATAAGAACAGCTGTTGGATTAAACCTGTGATGCCAGTATATGGGTTACTATTAAGTAACTAATTCTTTTTCTTTTTCCTTTTTTTTTTTTTTTTTTTTGGAGACAGGTTCTCACTCTGTCATCCAGGCATGGAGTGCAGTGGTGTGATCATGGCTTATTGTAGTCTCAGCCTCGTGGGTTCAAGTGATCCTCCTGCCTCGTCCTCTCAAGTGGCCGAGACTAGAGGCCCACGCCACCACTACTGGAAATTTTTCTTTTCTTTTTTCCTTCCTTCCTTCCTTCCTTCCTTTTTTTTTTTGATGGAGTCTCGCTCTGTCACCCAGGCTAGAGTTCAGTGGCTTGATCTTGGCTCATCACTGCAGCCTCCACCTCCCGGGCTCAAGTGATTCTCCTGCCACAGCCTGCCGAGTAGCTGGGACTACAAGTGTGAGCCACCACGCCTGGCTGACTTTTGTATTTTTAGTGGAGATGAGGTTTTACCATGTTGGCCAGGCTGGTCTCAAACTCCTGACTTTAGGCGATCCTCCTGCCTTGGCCTCCCGAAGTGCTGGGATTATAGGTGTGAACCACCATGCCCAGCCAAGTAACTGATTTTAGGCTTGGGACTTTTAGTAGGAAGTTATAAGAGAATTTTACTAAGTTTTGAACTAGTATTGGAATTTGTAAAATAATTAAGATTAAATTTTATACATTTATTAGGTTTACTACAATCAAGTAATTGAGAAAGTTCAGCTAATTTAAAGTCATTTAAAATTTTTTTTAAAAGATATAATATTTTAATACTTAAGTCGAAAATAACCTGAAGCCTTGCCCAGTGGCTCATGCCTGTAATCCTAGCACTTTCGGAGGTCAATGTGGGAGGATCACTTGAGCCCAGGCATTCAAGACCAGCCTAGGCAACATGGCGAGACCCCGCCTCTACAAGCAAACAAACAAAAAATTAGCTGGGTATGTTGGTGTGCACCTATGGTCCCAGCTACACAGGAGTCTGAGGCAGGAGGATTCTCTAAACCCAGGAGGGTCAATGCTTCAGTGAGCTGTAGTCACACCACTGCACTCCAGCCTGGGTGACAGAATGAGACCCTTTCTCAAAGAATAATAATAATAATAATTTAACCTGAAATAACTTGGGTTTAAAACATCACGTGAATTAAGTAACTGTGACACATCCTTAAGAGTGATTGTCACAGTTCACTAGGTTTTTAAATGGCACAATGTGATTTATAAATTATATAAAAGGGCATGGGAAAATTAGGCTTTTGAGTGTATAAATGTAATAACAAGAATTAATTTTAAAAATCAAAGTAACTGCGAACAGTGCAGTTACTCCCTCAAGTATAGTCTCACATCGACAAGAAAAGCTTTTTAAGTTACAAAGTGACAAACCAATGCACAGAATATGAACCCAGACATGTAAAGCAGAAGAAAGCAAAACAGCATGTTTCTATTTGTGCATGATAATGGATGTAAGTGTGATAGAAATAGGTCTGAGAAAGTAAACTCCAAGCTGCTAACTGTGGGTTCCTTCTAGGCAAAGGAATAGGAACTGGCAAAAGATGAAGGGAGACTGTCATTATTAGTGTATTTAATTATGTGTCATTTTATTTTTTTAAAAAGTAAAGAAAAATGTAACCTTATGTTAATTAGTTAATTATTTGAAAGCAAAAGTCATTTTAAATTTTGAGTGAATCAAGTCTGGGACATTAACTGCATCACAGGTGCAATTGTACAAAATGTCCGGTAGGTGGAGCCCTAATACAAACCTGTGGGTGAGATTTATTTAGCAAAAAAGAAAGGAGGATCAGCATTCAAATGGAGTCAGGAATTTTTAAGGACAGGGCCGCTAGTCCAGAGCCATGGGATATATTTCCAAGCCAACATTAGATGGTTTCATAATTTTAAAAATTCATCTTTTAGTTAGTTTAAAAGAATTCAGTAATTTCTCTTTTTACAAACCCAGCGGTCAGATGCTGTTTACTATGAATAGGGTCCATATTTTGGGCGGGCCCTCTGTTGATGTCTTTGTGTCAGGACACTTAAACTCTGACAATGTAGCCATCAGTAGGGAACCTGGCTAACACTGTGTTCCATCCATACAATAAAAATTCATCCACAAGGAAGAATGAATTAACTCCCTGTGTACCAATATGGAAGCATGTTCAAGATATGATGCAACACACGTTGTAGGTTCCATTTGTACTTAGATTAAAGGATATCTAAAGACATTTAAGGATAACGTGCAGGGCAGCAGCAGGTCCTGTTGTCTAGAGAAGGTTTTTGCTCGGGAAACAATGTCTTGAGATGGTATTTCAATGACATGTGTGCTTAGGATTTCAGAAATAGGAATTAGTTCTATTAGGCAGGTTTAGCATGCATGTGTGCATTGCATTCCTGGAAAGAGAACTCAAACTATCAAAGTTGGTTTTCTATGGAAAATGCAAATGGAGAGACTAAGAGACTTTTACTTTCCACTTTATAACTTCCTATATACTATGTAAATTTCTCCACGGTGTGCACAATTTGCTTTTTTTGTTTGTTTCTTTTTTTTTTTTTTTTTTACTGGTAGCAGTATAATTTATTCAAATGTGCCTTAATATAGGTGCTAGGGCTTGCCTATGGTGCTCTTGATATATAAGGCCAGGACATTCTGCCAGTTTTTCTGCCAGTTTTTCTTGAGCAATGTCACCAAGAAGTTGACAGGCAGGTGAATGTTACACACAAGCTCATTGTCTGTCCTTTTCATGTGGCCAACAGCCACAGCCAGACATAACACGTTCTTCATTTGGAACTTGATTATGGACTTCATCTCATCCACTTTGGCCACCATGTTTTTGTTATGTGTGCCAGCAGGGAGGGGACATTTCCTGCCTTATTTAGACCTGGGCCGAGAATTCGTGGGATGTGCTTGATCAGAGACTCTGAGGCCAAAAATGCATCATACTCTTGGCCAGCTTCTTGACCAATTTTCTATTCTTGTTGAGTTTTCTCAGTACTTTGTTTTCCACGTGGGGGATAGCCACAGCCTTCGCCTTGTCACAGTGCTGCTGGTTTTCAGGACACACACGAAGAACTTGGGGCGGGGAATGGACTTAAGCCTGACGGTGCCCGAGAATCACTTGTCCTTCTGGGGAGTCATAGTTCTTCAAGCTGATCTGCAACTCCACCATCTCCAGAAACTTGGGGTCCTTGCGCTGGTTCCGGTGCAGGACTTCCCGCACCGCCTCCTACAGGGTGTCACGGGAGACTGCTGCTCCTGGCTTCTCGCTCCACGCTAACCAGAAAAGAGACTAATACTGCACATATATTTTTGAGTGTAGATTCCATACACCAATACTGACACTTTCTCTATTTCCTTGTTAATTTGCAGGGCAGCAGCCACTACTCAAAGAAAAGCCCCAAGTCTTTATGCAGAACAAAGTGCGGTTCTTATCATTCCCCTCCTTCTGGTGCTGGCTTCCGGGACTCAACTGTAACTGGGAACTGTGTTGCTCTAACCCTCCTCCAGCCCTGCAGCCTCCCCTTGCAATCATCTTTCCTGTTCTGTGTATACCAAATGATTCTGTTGTCTAAAGAAGCTCTTTGCGGGCAAAACGATGTCCTGAAATGGTATTTCAATGAGACATATGCGCAGGATTTCAGAAACAAGAAATTAGTTCTATTTAGCAGGTTTAAAAATGCTGCATTAGAATTAAAGCAAGTTATTTTCTTACTTTTATAATGACACAAAGCACTGGGAGTCAGACTGCTTGTATATTATCAAACATTTTTAGAGAATTCTAATAAAGCTGTATTTTACATCATCTATATTTTCCTATATCTCCAGCAGCACGCACACTGCATGCTTGTTGATCACTTATATGTATACTATATAAATGTATGCATATATATTTTGTCTGTAAAGATTTCATTTATTTGGTATAAAGATGTTCAGTTACTGGTTCCTTTTTGTTTTGAGAGACAGAGTTTCGCTCCTTTGCCCAGGCTGGAGTGAAGTGGTGAGATCTCAGCTCACTGCAACCTCCGCTTCCAGGATTCAAGCAATTCTCCTGCCTCAGCCTCCTGAGTAGCTGGGATTGCAGGTGACTGCCACCTTGCCCAGCTAATTTTTGTGTTTTTAGTAGAGACGGGGTTTCACCATGTTGGCCAGGCCAGTCTCAAACTCCTGATCTCAGGTGATCCACCCGCCTCAGCCTCCCAAAGTGCTAGGATTACAGGTGTGAGCCACCACACCCAGCCATAATAGTTACTTATAATGAGGGAAAAACCCAAAATGTCCAGTAGTATTTACATATTTACTGAAACTGTTTGGAACTTGTATTAGTTGGTTCTTGCACTGCTATAAAGAACTACCTGAGACTGCGTACTTTACAAAAAAAATAAAAAAGAGATTTAATTGACTCACAGTTCTGTGTCCGGAATTGGTTCCTTCTGGTGGGTTCTTGATCTCGCTGACTTCAAGAATAAAGCTGTGGACCTTCGTGGTAGTGTTATAGCTCTTAAAGATGGTGTGTCTTGAGTTTGTTCCTTCAGACGTGCCCGGAGTTTCTTCCTTCTGATGGGTTCGTGGTCTCGCTGACTTTAAGAATGAAGCTGTGGACCTTTGCAGTGAGTGTTACAGCTCTTAAAGGTGGTGTGGACCCAAAGAGTGAGCGACAGCAAGATTTATTGTAAAGAGCAAAAGAACACAACTTCCACACTGTGGAAGGGGACCCAAGTGGGTTGCCACTGCTGGCTCTGTGGCCAGCTTTTATGCCCTTATTTGGCCCCACCCACATCCTGCTGATTGGTCCATTTTACAGAGCGCTGATTGGTCCATTTTACAGAGTGCTGATTGGTCCATTTTACAGAGTGATGATTGGTGTATTTACAATCCTTTAGCTAGACACAGAGCGCTGATTGGTGTATTTTTACAGAGTGCTGATTGGTGCATTTACAATCCTTTAGCTAGACACAGAGCACTGATTGGTGTGTTTTTACAGAGTGCTGATTGGTGCATTTACAATCCTTTAGCTAGACACAGAGTGCTGATTGGTGCATTTACAATCCTTTAGCTAGACAGAAAAGTTCTCCAAGTCCCCACTGGACCCAGGAAGTCCAGCTGTCTTCACCTCTCAGTTCCACAGGCTTACAGGAAGCATGGCTGGGGAGGCCTCAGGAAACTTTTGATCATTGTGGAAGGCAAAAGGGAAGCAGGCATGTCTTACATGGCCAGAGAAGGAGGAAGGGAGTGAAGGAGGAGGTGCTACATGCTTTCAAACAACCAGATCTTGTGAGAACTCTGTCATGAGACAGCACTAGGGGATTGGTGCTAAATCATCAGAAACTACCTACATGATCCAATCACCTCCCACCAGGCCCCACCTTCAACAATTCAATATGAAATTTAGGTGGGGATACAGAGCCAAACCATATCAGAGCCATTTACATGGGTTTTAATATATTTGTAGAATGGAGTATCATTCAACAAGTAAAAGCCATGTTTACCAATTCAAATGTCCTTCAAATGGTGAATGAATAAACTAACTGGTAAATCTATACCATGGAATACTACTCAGCAATAAAGGTAACTACCTTGATATTTGCAGCAATATGGATGAAACTAAAACGTGAGAGCTGCCACACCAAAAGGCTACCAACTGTACGATTCTATTTATATGAGATCCTCGAAAAGGCAGAACTGTAGGAGCGGAGGGCAGACCAGTGATTGTGGGTGTTGAGGATGATTAGGACTAGAGGGAGGCGCTGACTGCAAAGTGACACTGAGAGAAAAATTTGGGGAGCGATGGAACTGCTCTGTGTCTTGATTGTGGTGGTGACTGCATGAATCCATGTGTTTGTCAACACTCATGGACCTGTATATGAAAAAGAGTAAATTTTATTTTATGTAAGCTAAAAAGAAATGTTTTCAAAGAACATTTAATCACATAGGAAAATGTGTAAGAGATAAAATATAAAACTTTATCATGTGATGCCAATGTCTAAAGTATGATACAAATTTAGTATATTATGAATGTGTGTGCAGATGACATACATATATTATAAATGAACGACACAAAAGAAAATAAACCAAAAGGCAAAGCAGTTTTCTTCAGACGGTGGTCTTATTTTATATCTGACTTTTGATATTTTTGTGTTTTCCAAATTTTCTCCAATGAGTATGTGTTGCTTTTATTATCAGAAAAAGAGAAACACAAACACACACACACACAGACACACACATCATATGTGTAGTAATTTGACCCGACATAAAACATTTCCAGAAGGGAAAAACGAAACCAAAAGCTCATCACAGACACTTCTGTGATCTCTTTACTGCTTGTTTGACCTAAAGCAAGTGTGGGTTGTTAGGCATGAAAGCTGATGATTCTAATTCTGATGCCCCAGGGCCAGCAAGTGGCAGAGGAGCTCCTTACCTTCCCGTAGGGTGCTATAGATCTTTGTAGAGAAAACGACCATGCAGCCCCTGGTGACCCCAGGCAGCAGCAGGACATCTCTCCAGCCCCACAGCTCTGAATGCCAAGCTCTCTCTTCCTCACCCTGCCACCCCTACCTCTGGTGAGATCCTCCTGGCCGTGTCGTTACTCAATTTTTGTGGACACTTGACCAAATATTCACTATAAAACTAGGAAAACACACAGCTTTATGGTTATTGCATGTATATAGATATATATTAGGTTGGTGCAAAAATAATTGTGGTTTTTGCCTCAAAAACTTGATGTCAGGAGTTTGAGACACGCCTGGACAACATAGTGAAACCCTGTCTCCACTAAAAATACAAAAATTAGCTGGGTGTGTTGGTGTGCGCCTGCCCAGCTACTTGGGAGGCTAAAGCAGGAAAATTGCTTGAACCTGGAAGATGGAGGTTGCAGTGAGCCGAGATCGCGCCAGAGCACTCCAGCTTGGATGACAGAGTGAGAATCTCTCTCTCAAAAAAATAAACAAACAAACAAACAAAAACACCCCCTGCTATTTGAAAAACAAAAAAGCCTGATATTACTTTTAATGGCAAAAACTGCAATTACTTGCACCAGCCTAATAGAGAAAACACGGTGAATTAAAAACTCAACCTTGTGAATATCTAGAGATCCTCTCAGACATTGCTTTGGGCTGACTTCAGTCTCTTTCGTTTGAAATCACACAATGGCTTTTTAACTTGTTTCCTGTGCCTTCTGCCTCTTTCTCTTCCGACTTTTCATCTCCCATCATTACCCCCACTTTGTGGGGTCTACACACAGGTCTGCCCTGCCCCATGGTGCTCAATCCAGGGGTTGTCCCTGCATTGCAGGAGGGGCCAGGCTACTTGACCGTCACCATCGGTTACCTTCATCATGACCACAGCAAGCATTCACTGAGTTATACTTGTCATGCCTTCCAGTTTCCATGACCAGCATACTCCAAAGCACCTGGCAGAACAGTGGATTCCTTCCTCCGTGGGATGCTATGGGGCCAGGTTTTGGTAGCATTACCGAAACACCAGGGTTTTCTCCAGGTCCTGCTGCTCACTGCACCGAAAGCAAGTCACTGAGATGAGCATTGCCAGAGAAGAAGGCTTTTTCGGGTGCTGCAGCCAAGAAGAAGGGGAGATCAGTCTCAAAATTGTCTCCTTTACCAGTCAACTAAACTTAGGGGTTTACATAGCAGGAAGGAAATGTAACTATATGTGAGAAAACAGGAATGAGGGAGGGGTAAGGAAGAGAAGCTGCTAAATAGGAATCATGATTGATGAAGGGTCTGGCATCTAATTGTGTGGATGTGGTGGTCTGGTGAGTTTTGGTTCCTTGATACTAACTGGGTGGCCTAAGGGTCAGTTTCCTGAGGAAGGAATTCAGATAAGACAAATGTAAGTTTCAACCTTTAAGATGAGAGGGTCAATTTTCATGTTTATCCAAAAAACAGTAGACATCACTTCTCTGGGACAGCTGGGCTGGTTTCAGTCGGACACTGCCACAGGGAGCAGGCAGGAGTGGGAACCAGGCCACACTCAGAAGGGTTAAGGAAAGAGACTATGGGAAGGGAGACTACAGAGAAATGAAATCCATGAAAATCTGGCATGTGGTAGAATGTTCATTTGGTTAGCCACTGGTGTGTGTTGTAAAAGCGGTATCAGCGTCTTACAGAAGGTGTGCTCAGCTGGGCTCCTCTAACCAAGTTGCTTGGTGCTCTACCCAGACGTGCTCTCTACTCTCTCCCTCCTCAGGGTCTTTGAATATCTTGGTCTCTCTGTGTTGATTTTCCTTCCTGCCCTGTCTCCCATCTGGCAGACACTAAGACATACCTTAAACATCACCTCCTCCCTGGATCCTTCTGTTGACCTCTCTCCCTGCAAAAGAGCAAATAATTCCCTAACAGGGCCCATCTCCATGGTGTCAGCATTATTTGGGTCCTTGCCTGACTTCACCCTGTGACTGTGGCTTCTTTGTAGACTCACCCATCTTTGCAGCCCTAGCCTAGCCCTCCCTGGGATGAAGTAGACCTTCCACGTGTGAATAAACTAAGTTTAATAGAGGAAAACACAGCGTTAGGGATTATTTAGCTTTCTTTTGTTGGAGGAGGCCAGGGAGGGTACAAGGGAAGATTAATAGCATGGTGTGCCATGCTTTCCTGTATTTATGCCATACTTCCATGAAACACTTGAAGTGTGTGATATTGCTAGGGTGTGTGAGGGGAGCAGTGAGGGAAGATGACAAGCAGCATAAGACTTTTGAGTACTCAGAGAAAGAGAAAAAGACCCAACCAACCAACTTCCAATTCATAATTCATGGTTTGTCTCAGGACCGTCTGGCTCCTCAGGCCAATCCCA